GGGAAAACGTAAGAACGCCCCGCGCTTCCCAGCTCTCCCCCCTCTCCCACTCCTCCCCTAGCATTCCGGCTCAGGGTGCAGCCAGTTCTGTGAGTGAGCTTCTGTGGTGAAGCGGGAAAATCCCAGCTTTCTGATTATCTCTCCCTGCCCTGCTCTTCATGCAGGGCAATCCTCAGTCCTTTCAGGGCCCAGGTTCTAGACCAAGTGGGGTCTGTCTTGTCCCCTCTCCTCAAGCAGAGTGCTTATAGCTTGGGGTAGAAAGGGGAAGTGACAAAAACATAGTCAGTGTTACCCATACTCTGCCTTCCACACTTCCTTGCCTTCCAACCCAGACTGAAATGCTCTGCTGCCAGAATCATTTTGAACCTTTTTCTGCTTCCCCAGCTCTTTCTGAATCAGCGTTTTCTATGCATGTTTCCTATGGTACAGGTCGGTGATATCCCTTGGACTCCCATTCCTGGGGCCTGATAGTAGGATGACTCCTGAGATGGGGGTTGGGGCCACTCTCACAAAGGAGAAGTGCAGCTCATTCTCTCACAGACCACATCCTGTGCCTCCTGTGCCCTGCCTCCTCCTGCCCGGGCTCCCTTCTGCTCCTTGCTTTTGCCCCCACCACTTGCTTACCCCATCATAACTTGTTCTCCACTCCCTTCATCCACACATGTACGCGAACACACATTTGGTGGATGCAGAGAAGGCAGGCAGGTGGAGGGTGAGAGTAGGAGGACTGCATCTGGTCCTCCCACCCTATCCGGAACTGTCTTCTCCCATGACAGGTCTTCTATCTCTGTGTACCAGGGAGCAAAGAGGGAGAGACAATGATTTCAGGGGCATCAGGCTATCATCTGCCCTGGCAAACACAGAGTCCACCAAAGACAGAACCCGATAGATTGTTTCTACTTCATTTCCTGTCACAAGACTTATTTCCTTGGGGGATATACCCCAGCTTCTCCTCCCCTCAGCTTTTGCTCACCTCTCTCTGGGGAGGGCCACCTAAGAAGCTCACCCGAGTACTGCTGCCCAGGACTTCCCCCAGCAGGCCCTGGGCCCCTCCCAATACGAGCTATGCAGCAAAAACAGAAACCTAGGTTTGTAGAGGTCTAAGCAGTGAATGGTGGGAACCTCAATGCCTGACTCCTTGCATTGGACTAGCAAGCAACTGCTTGAGATAAGGGGACAGTAATAGACTCTGCTCTTCTTCCTACCCTCTCTGCTCCTTTCTGTGCCCGAGACACAGGCAAAAGAACTAATTGTTTGAAGTCCGGGGCAGTAAGAAAGGAAGTAGAGATGGGCTGGTGCGGCTGGAAGAGGGTGGGAAGGAGCCAACCCTGAAGAAGGTGTGCCCAGATGAGAGGGATTAGAGGACTCTAGCTCCCACCTTCAGCTCGGTTGACTTGCCTTTCCTTCCTGGTCTTTGGGAGTATGTTACTTCATAGACCCTTGGACCTGGCTTCTGGATCTCTGGTGCCAGTGAAAAACTTGTCCATTGTCAGCAGCCTTAACCTTAGAGCCAGGTTTTAATGACCCCTGGTTTTGCCCCTGGGTTGAAAAAAGGTTGAGGTTGGGAGACAGGGCCCATGAGGAGGGATAGGCTTTCTCAGAAGTCTCCCCCCAGGTTGTCCATATCCTTACCTTGAGCCTCCCAGTCCATCCCCGCTATTTTCTTTGGAGCACTGGCCCTCTCCTATGACCTTTGCCTTCTGCCTCTCATGGCATCACAGAGCAGCAGGAACAACAGGAGTTACAGAATCCAGCTACCCTTCCAGGATAGCCCTTCATTTGGGTGTTTGAAGACGGTGTCATGGCTCGTCTCTACTCTCCCAAGTCTGGGCTTCTCCAGCCCAGTTACCCTAAGATCTTTGCCTCCCTTTTGCTTTTCTGGTTATGTTTGGTAAGGGCTCCAGTTTGCAGAAGGCTTTGTTTTCTCTCCAGAGAGCCCAGGTTTATAGGTCTGATTCTTCAGGTCTGCTTGAGAGGTAGAGGGCTGGACAGCCAGCCCTGGAAAAGTTCAAGGTCCTCCTGTCCAGGGCTGGGCAGCTCCACAGCTCTCCTCTGACACTCACTTCCCCTAGACTTGTCCCGGAACCGGTTCCCCGAGGTGCCAGAGGCAGCATGCCAGCTGGTGTCCCTGGAGGGCCTGAGCCTCTACCACAATTGCCTGAGATGCCTGAACCCAGCTTTGGGGAATCTCACAGCCCTCACCTACCTCAACCTCAGGTAGGGAGGCAGGGCCAGGGGAGGATGCGGTGTGACCTTTAGGGGAGAGCCATGCTGGAACACTGTGTCTGGAAAGTGAGTGAGCCCACTGCTTTTCTTCCTTCCATAGCCGAAACCAGCTGTCATCGCTGCCACCCTACATCTGCCAGCTGCCCCTCCGGGTGCTCATTGTCAGCAACAACAAACTGGGAGCCCTGCCTCCAGACATCAGCACCTTGGGAAGCCTGCGGCAGCTTGTGAGGATGGGGAGTGGGG